GCGGTGGTGCAAATGAGGCTGGCGTACCATGTGATCTCACCTGCTGTGGCAAACTACCATGCGAACCCAAGCTCCCCAAACCTCACAGCAAAATCCCGTGCTGATCCTCAGGTCCCAGCATTCATCCCAAATCAGGGATGCGCGCAGTCAGCCGCAGCAACTGGTTGTCTAGTTTGGAGGGTTGCGCGAAGGGTTTGTCAGAAGCACCACTCCTTTCCGGGAGGGATATGGCAGGGCTCAAACGCCCAAGGTGCACGTTCAGGAGGAGTAGGCAGGGGTACCTCAAGGTCCTGTTTTGGGCAATTTTGTGCTTGATGCTGTGCGTGTGGGAGTTCAGCAGCTCCAGACTTACGTGAGGATCACCCCAGGTTGTAAAGTTCGAGGTAACCACGTCTTGGTGGCTGTCCGCACAGCCAGGCCAACCACAGGCCAGGCTGTGCAAACGTAGGGTCTTTAGCCTTCCTCTTAACCCTACCCAAAAGCACTCCCTGCATTGCCACCAAGACTGTAGGGAGGCTTTGCCAGGGGAGGGGAGTTGTGGATCCTGACCCATGCTGTTTATTTATGGCCTGAGGAATCACCAAAGCGCAAAAAACATTAAAAAGTTTAAGCACAAAAGCAAGAAAAACAAGTTGGTCACTACGTGAAAATATTTATGGTTGATATGACTACGACGCATGAGCATGGGACATGTACAGTTAACAACATGCTCATGGCCTAGCATCTTGGGCCTTAAAAGCCAACATGAAAAACTGACGGACTGCTCATGAAGGATGGCTTTCAGCAGTGTCCCCACAAATCTCCTGACTAGTTGTTTGTCGGGGTTAAAAAGTGGTGCACAGGCCCCATTGTGGCAAAAACAGAGTCCTACAACTGGAACCCCTAAACTGCAATCAGATTGTTGTGCTCTTCACCTGAGGAATGGGGCTCTTGGAGTAGTGGTGCTGGGAATGCTCTTGGAATTGTGCTCCTGGAATGGTGGTGTTAGAGGGTGTGGAAGGCTGATCACAACCATAATATCACAACAGGAAAAGCGCGTCATATTTTTGCCCACAATGAGATGTCTGAGTCCTTTCTGGTGCCTTTTTACTTCAAATTTTCGCTATGCTGTATAATGATTTGGCCTTCTGCAGTAGCCTCATCGTCAGGGATAGTCATCGCCAAGGAAGATGACTCGGCCCCATCTTTCCCTTTTACACTCCAAGGTGCCTTTTTGAAGTTCAATTTCTTGGCATTCTGATGAACGATGGTCCGCGCTACAACTCAGGTTTCAAATCCGATCCTAATATCTTTGCTGCGCATGAAATAAGGACCATTGCCTTTGCCAACACAGCTTTTTCCACCATGAAAAAGTGCTCTCTGCTAGGGATTGATTACAATTTGGTTGACCGGGCACAAGAGGAGTTCCTGTCACTAGCACAGGCCGCAGCATTTGCACTCCAGTTGAGCCACTTTGTTTCCAAACTAGCAAAAGCAGGGAGGTCTTTGACCATCTTCAAAGTGCTTCTAAAGCATGTAGTGAACACAGAGCACGTCGCTTCATAACCAAGAAAAGAATACCATCGACTGAACTGAACCTCTTGGTTTAAAGAGTTTTTCCTCAAACTGGCAGGAATTCCTCAGAAAATCCATGGGAAACTTCGGAACAAGTTGAACTTGAAAAACAAGCTCAAATAGAGCTTTGAAAGAAGCTGCAGCAGGTACCCATTGTCGCAAAGATCTTGTCAAAACATGATTGAAGCTAAAGAAGGGCGCATGCCCGCCCGTCGTTTCGTCGTTTTTCTGTTTCCCTCCTGCGAAGAGTAACAACATTTGAAAATAATAGAACCAGATGGCCAGAACCACGAGTGCACAGAACAAACCACGCAGGTTCTGTGTGGAGCATCTTCCTTACTATGCGAAGGCGAGGCATTGCACAACAAATCAACATGTTCGGAGTCAGCTTCGTGATTTGCTTGGCCGCATGCTGTGTGCAGCTTTGGACGGAGTGGGTGGCTCAAGTACTGGACCTGCAATGCAAGCTTGCCACGCATGACCTATGCTCAAGTCTTCTGAACGCTTGCCTGCTACGAAGTGCAGAATCCCTCCCACCCACATCCAGCATAAGCTGGCATCCCGCCTGCAACTGCATCAACAGATCTTCTGTGACCTGGCACTGGAAAGTTCCCCTAGTTTCAACGCTGATTGCACACAAGTTGATCATCAAGCGGCAGGATCAAAAAAAACATTTCGTTGCCTCTGACTCTCCATCAGTGATGAGGTAGATGGCTTCAGCACTTTTGTGCGCAAATGCCTGTGGACCCCATCTGCAGTTCTAGCCGCTGCGCCAGTCACAGCATGCCAAGGCTGCTTGAGGTTATGGCCAGGCGCAAGGCAGCAGGGAGATTGCTGACACCACCTGCCTGACACGTACAGTGCTGCAGGTTCCTTACTAGTGTGTGTTTTGGAACCGGTAAGCAACACCCCACAGGCCTGAACTTGCTGACAGAAGCGCATGGCAGCCTCTACAGGTCGAGGTTTCAAGAACTTCAAGGAAACTTTGCCAGACGACTTCTGGCGGCGAAGCGCAGCTTTCTGTTCTGCGCTTCCCAACTTCAACTCCATAGGCATGCCAAAGTGGTCAACTCTTCTGAAAAGGCGGTCCTCCACGTTTTTTGGCGTCGCCTCGACGAGGTCATCGCTAAATTGCACCTCATGCAAAGCAAGGAATGTACTCTGACAACATACTTGCCCCATACTGGCCTGGTAATCCGTAAACGCTAAGATGCTGAAGGAACGTGCAGTCTTGTGGAACCTGATTGCCATGTAGGCATGGCGGAATTGAGACGCCTCCTCCCTCGGTCTCAGGTCCCTGCTGTTGTATCAATGCCAAGTTCACTGCACCCTTCACATCCTCTAGGTATGCCTGCCAAAGCTCCTGACATCTAGTGCCCCTTGCTTGCTTGAAGGAAGGGCCTGCATAGATCCGGATGCATCAACCACAAGCACCACGTTGTCCTGGTGTTTATGAACAAATCTGCAAAAACTTGCATCTATCTCACAGCTCCAACGCATCTGACCTCCGAGATCCTTCCAAGCAATGACCTGAGGATGAGCTGGAAACATTCAGCCACGCTCACCGTGTGCAATCTGCCAAAGCAAGGCAAAAGCACACAAGTGACACATGTGCCTGACGACCACGACTGTCAGAGTCTGGCGGTCAGTGAGGAAGGAAATGTCCTGGAGGCGCATTCAGCTTCAAAAAGCAAGGAAGAATCAGTTTTCCAGTTTGGGCTGCAAAGGCTCCTGCGGCATATACTCGGATCCATCACCTGAAGGCTTGACAGAGAAAATGAACGGCTCCAGCCTTGGCGCAAAAGGCGAGATGACAGCAATTTTGCATCTGTCAGAACTACCGTACGCGTCCCTGCTTGTGGCATGCAAGGAGACCTTGATCGAATGACATTTTAAAGCAAGCTGCAAACCTGTCGAACGATGCGCTCGACCTCATAGTCTGAGCCAAGTGCAGCTCCAAAGCGACCATGACCCGGCCGTACTCGTCACTACCTGTACTGGGCCGGTATATGGGTAGTGGGCACAATGTTCAACCCAAAAACAAGGCCGTTTTGCCACGCATGTGAGGCGCATGTCTTCTGCATTGCTGGCTCGAAGGCAACAGCAATGCGAGATGTGTAACAATATCTGCGCAGTTCGGCCAAGAGGTTCTGGCCAAACGCACAGAGGACATCACCCTCATGTGTGGGAGGACGCGCTCCGCTTCCGCAACTCCAGTTCACTTTTCCTTAAGCACAAGCTGGAACTTGAAACACTTGCGAAGCAACATAGCATCCTTGTCGCCCAGGCGCAACATGGCATTTTCCATGTCTGATAAACGGAGCTTCCTGCGGGATAGCACGAACATTGCACAAGCGCAACCCGTGCGATAAGTCTGGGTCAAAATGGCGAAAATGTGACTAAGATGCTAAAATCTCATGGCCCCATCTGTACTTGATTCTCAACTCCTGGCCTGTCTGCAATTTCAAGCTGACTTCGGAGCAGGATGATTTGCCCATCCTGACCACTGTGCCAAATGCTGTTATTATCTGCTAGCTGTTAGCTTCAGAGCTGATCTCGACTCAAGGCCAGAAACATCCCACTTCACACATGTGTAGAACGCGCAGGTTCTTCTTAAATGTCACAGATCTACAATGTTCTTAGTGCATGGTTCTTGCTGTGAAGTTGTGTAAATTACAGCGTTCACCTGACAGTTTGCTATTCCTCGTGGTCTTAACAGATCACCACGAAAGCCCCCCCAAAAAGAGATAAAAACAAGATGTATATGATCATGCATTCCAAGAAGTCTGCATGTCATGTTCCTTCTTCACGGCCTTGTTCGTGAGTTCGTCCTTGAGCGCCTCGCGCTCGCTCTGCGCCGAGCGGAGCTGGCTGGTTAAAGAAGGATCCTGCCACACATTGATATTGAAGTTGTGCCACCGTTTGTGGGTGGGAGGCCACCTCATTTGCAACCTCCCGCTATGCTTTGAGCCCAACAGCGCAGCGTCCTCCGAGCCGGGCAACATCGAGTTTCCCTGGTTGGTGCAAATGATTACAAGAACGGTTCGCAATGCTCTAAAGTGTGTATGCCCGATACCAAATGCCCCAGACCATCCAAGATTGACAAGCCTTTTCTGCCATCCATCCGCAAGCTGCTACAGGCACTTTATGGCTGAGCATTTTGACAGCAGAACCAACAAAAAAAAAGGTGCCTCTGAGCTTGCGGACCGCCCCTGCGCTGAGAGGATATCGATGCGTGCCAAGGCCTGTGTGCAGGGCACCTCATCTTTCTAAATGGAAGCCGAGCCCAGCAGCAAAGACACCGAGGGAAAGAAAACAACTTAAAGGCACACGAGGATTTTCTTATCATCATAGCCACATCAGGCGTTCACAGTCGTGGTGCTGTCGTGATGACTAGCATGAGGAGAGCATGATGTTGAGCAATACTATGGCAGCAGAGGTAGCGGCCATGGCATCACCGGAATTCATAGCTAACAGGCCGTGCGGATCAACTTACTAATCATACTATGCCGCATGATTCCAAGTGCCTTGGCAAGATCCAACTGGGAGGCTTCTTTGTCCTTGGCTGCAAGCGCCTAGCAAACATCTTTTCTTGGACTATGCAATGAGCCTCCCCAATTTGGAAAAGCAGGCTTTGCAGAACAAAAAACATGTTGCAGTTTGTACCTGACGCTGCTGGTTCTTCAATAGGAAGAATTGCATGTAGCCCCCCAAATACTATGTACCTCTAAATGTGGGAAAGTGTAAACCCTAAATACACCAATGTGTCCCAGATCCTATATCATTTTCCACGTTACGTTGTTTCCCTTTGATTCTCCATCATTTGGGGTTATGTCTTTAAGTTTGGCAAACATTCCAGCGTCTTGGGAGGGCTTAGGTCTGCTGGTACTCTGAAAGTTTGGGGGGTATCCCGCAGTTGGGGCGTGGGGTTCCTGTAAGGAGTGTAGTATTTTCGGGTCCATCTTGGGCCCTAAACCCTAAACCCTATGCCCCAAACGCTCAACCCCACCACAATGAAGGGTGAGCTGAGCTTGTAAGTTGCGAGGTCGGCCGAATGCAACCCGCAGAAAATAGAAAAAAAATCTTCTGTTTTCTGAGTTGCTGTAAAGGAACTTAATTTAAGTTACCATAATCCATACTATAGGCATCTCGTAAGTCATGAGGTTTCCTTATGATAGTCATTTTCGAAAAGTTCCTTAACAGCAACCCAGTATTTGCCTGTGAAGAACCACTGAAGGATGATGGTCAGGATTTGGAGCTTTAGGAAATTCGCTCAATATGTCCTTCAGAACCCACATCCTAAGTTGTAGTTTCCATGTTCTTTTGCATTATCCCGAAAATAACCGTACCCCAATATTTGCGGTAGTTTTCCATGTTCTTCTCCTTTACAGATCAGTGCTTCTCCCGAAGCAAGGTCTGCCTCGGCAACAATGTGCTTCCGACTAGGTTTTGACATAATACACCCTATACCTTGTACATTTCCCAGTGCTAGAAGTAATCACCATTTTCTTTTCTGGGTTATCTCTGTGAGCACACCCCAGCTTCTGTTTCTACACGGATGAATTTGCTAGCTACTCTTGGAGGCTTTGAGAAGGTGGTATGAGAAATGCCCATGCCCACGAGTGAGCGAAGCAACTAAACTGCCACAATCTTGGTAAGGATGAGCACCAACACCCTGCGCCTCATTCATCAACTCCGTGCGACCTATTGAGAACGTGCTGGGGACTGTCAGGCCGTGTACGGTCTCTTGTTCTGTTGCTGTAAGTCTCCTTGCGTGGCCTGAAGTGGAACTGGCCACCATTCTCATGATAGATGCTGCCACGGCTCCCTCTCCAGTTTCTCAATTCTACCTGCGTCGCTATTGATGCTAAAATTGTCTTTCGGCACTTGCATCACCATGCATCACCATTAGAGCGACTCAACATTTCGCATACAGGTATGCGCTGCTCGAATACTGTGGAGTGGGCCTGTACCCAACAACTTGCACTGTTAGATGCACTGCCTGGGCGAGTGAGGCGCAATGCTGGCCTTGCAACTCGCCGCTCTCGTCCGTCATCGCTTGGAGAAGGGAGGCCCTGCCAAAGTCAGCTCCTACGCCTTGATACCATTGAGGTGCACGCATGCAGGATGCTCATTTTCTTGAGTTAGATCCGGTCTGTCGAGCTCATGCTTTTCGAGGCCTGTGCATCTCTGGGTTCTACTTAGCCTCTCTTGCCCAGATCCCCACAAATTCCTGGAAAGATTACCTATGCGCTGCCTTTCTCGCTCCACGTCTGCTTTGAACCGCTTGAGCACCAGGTCCTGCCAACATGCCAAGCCCTTTGCCTTCTGCAGCTATTAAATTAAGGCGCCAGTGGCATCAATGCCCAGGCACCAAGATTACTCTGCCATCAGAATCGAACCTCAAGGCTTTGCGGACAGCCACCGAAGTCAACAAACACTTCTGAGTTACATGAGCGCTTCGGCTAAATAAGTTATCACCTAGCAACGTGTGCTTTTTTTGGCCTGTCACCCATAGGTCCTTTTCTGCTAGCTGCGCAGTCCTGAGCGTTCAGCCCGCTTCGTGCCCCTGTTTAGTTGCTCCTGCTCCGCTGCCCAAAACGGATGTATTTGACAGATCCATGGTCTCTGTTCCTATCTCTTTGATGCGGCTGTAGCATACACATTGCTTGCACAGAAACTCCAATTAGGTGCTGTGTGTATGTGTCACGATTACGTCCTGCGTCTACAGCAGTAAGATACAAGACCAGCAAAAAACGACATCAATGATATTTTGAGAAGCTGTAACTGTAAAGCGAGAAAAAAAACATTTTCTGGGTGAGCTGCAACTCCATCTGGCATCAACTGACATACATCCCAAGCTTCCATTCCCCCACCAAAATCTCGGGTAGGCTAATCCAGCAAAAAAAAACATTAAATCCATAACTAGCATGTTTAAGACGCCCTGCAATTTTAATAATTCCTGGATATGGGCTTCATCAGCCTGACAGCAAGATTAGCACTTATTCAGGCTTCCTTATTGATGAACCTGTCTAGATGCCAAGATGGATATCTACAGAGTGGGCTCCTTTGCATGCCTTGGTGCCCTAGCCTGGCATCTCTATGGACATCCCAAATTAAAGAAAAACAATGTTGACCCACCTCTTGTTGTCCGGGTTACAGGGCAGCAATCTCATCCTGGCACTCTCGCAGCTCATCCGCCTCTCAGTGTCAGTTTTCTGCCGATCTGTCTGTGTGGTTCTTGAGATATTCTTTGGAGTTCTTCTGATGGCCTTTGTGCAGGTCCTGCCGCAAAGGGGGTCGCACTGTGGCGATACAGCCGCATGAAACAACCAATTCGGTGGTTTAGGGCTATGGGACCTGAAGGCGTGGCAGTGATTGTTTTTGGTGGGGTCGAACCCTCTACGATGAGGACTTTTGCCACGGCGCTTTGTTGTAGATCAGGGGTTCAAACTTCCAGATAAAGTGACAATCCAACAACTGTGCACATGGCGGCAGTCGTAGATTTGGTTGAAGTAGCGGCGGGGGTTTCCGCTGATGGTTGTCATGGCAGTAACAAGTTTTTGCAGCAGGATGTGGTAAGAAAGGGACAGAATAACGACATCCATCGTACAGACTTCAGGCAGTACATCTGCTGCTTGAGTTCCCGGAAAGTTGGTATTGCCAATACTGTTTCCTGTGGCTGGCCTTCTCCATCTCGAACTCTTCAAATTGCTGCAGCATGTCGCGCGCATCCCGCTCCAGCCTAGGCTTGTGATTCATCGATGTGGCCCTTCTCCTACCTTCAGTATCAGTAGTCGTGCTAGTACCAGAAGAGGAAGTAGCAGCAGCACTAGTTGTGGAATAACAGGAAGTACTAGTGGCAGCAGAAATACTAGCTGCATAGCTGAAGCAGGTGGTGGTGGTGGTGGTGGTGGTGGTGGTGGTGGTGGTGGTGGTGGTGGTGGTGGTGGTGGGGGTGGGGGTGGTGGTGGTGGTGGGGGTGGGGGTGGGGGTGGCGGTGGCGGTGGCGGAGGCGGCGGCGGCGGCGGTGGTGTTGGTGGTGGTACAAAAACGGCGACCCCTATGGATACTGGTGCCACTGCTTTGTCCTCAGAAGCAATACTGAGTGAAATCTGTATTTGACGTCGCTGTCATGGTACTTGTAGCCAAGATAACTATTGACGGTATTCTGCTACTTGATTTGCTAACTCTCCTCCTGGCTGCTACTGCTGCTGCTCCTGCTGCTGCAGACTTGACATCATGCCCATGACCTGTGCTGACAGCACTGCAACGATGTGTCTCGTTTCATGCAAGCCTAACCAATGAACAGAAAGTATGAAGCTTGTCACAGCTCATGTGGGAAGCTGTTGGGGGCCAGGTAGGTATGTGCCAAAACCAGCGCGACAAACAAGGCTCGACTGATTTTGTAACCGCTTTCTGTTCCTTTTGATCTTTGTGCTTGCAGCGATGAGCTGATACTACCCACCTATAACACAACTACTCACTCTTCGCCTCCCTTCTTTGGCCGTCTTTGACTGTGGCTCAAGGCTCTTGAGGTTGCACCCCGGAAGTCGTAGCCCATGTTCCCCAAGTGAATCCATGCAAGGTCTCCTGAAGCTCTTTTAAAGAAACCTCAACACCAGGGCTACGCCCTCAGGGATGCAATCCCGAGATTTTCGAGTAGCTGAGTAGCTGCACTTTTTACCTGTTGCCATTTTGATTTCACATTTGCTACTCTGATAGCCTGGCTGCTTCTCATTCTTCGCCAGAATCTCAGAGTTGCTGGGGTCTGTCTGCTCTCGCTGCTGCAAGCCTTCGCGGAAATCGAACTGAAATTGCCTTACTACACTCTACGCGAAACGTGAAGGCTTGCTTGTGGCACTAGGTCAGACCAGTACCTGCAAAAGGATCCTCACAGCGTAGCAGAGAAGTGCACTGCAATAGTTACGCCTCGTCCTCTGTATGCCCTGCCACTTGCATAGAGCCAAGTCCAACATGACCAAGAAGGGCACAGGCTGGCACCGAAATACGCATGCGACAACAAGAACGAAGCTACGAAGAGTACTTCGATGGTGCAGCACAGCCTCCTCCCTGTGCTCAACCGCCTTCTCAAATGGCCCAATCCAAGTTTGAAACACATCCATACAGGAAGAGCTTTACAGGCACAAAGGCCATTGAAAGGATCCATGCGATCCCAACCTGGTCATCCATTCTAAATGTTCTGTGTGGAGATGCATGTGTCGAGCCCGCTTTCTGGAGCCCCCGGCTTTGCCATATGCTCCTGATACTGGGCCCGCCTTTTTCATGGTCATCATGTCGCATGTCAAGCAAACAAAAGTTACATTTTCACAGCTACTCACCCTGTGAATCAGGCTTGGCCCATTTAGGTTTCTTGATGGATGCATGAAAGCGGAGATCTTCCACTCCTCATCCCGAAATTTGCGTCTGAGCTCTAGTCTTGAGCGTGCGAAGAGCGCATGCTCGGGTCTAAGGCTTAGGGCCCGGCAAAACAATGGGATCTGAGCCTCTAAGGCACTCCTAACACTAGGTCCTAAACCCTTAAACCTGACAGATATATACCCTCCTTTCTCTGCAGCCAAGCGGCGCTCTTGGAGCTTCTTCTGCTCCTCTTGGAGCTCCTGGACAGAAACAGCATTTGTGGGGGATTTGACGTTTCTAGATAATTTGGGGTTCCCTGCATAAAGCCTAGCCCAATCTGCAGCCCACGTCGCGCTGCTTCAGCCTTCCCTGCTGCTTCCCCTACTCCTTTCAGCCGTTGCCGAATCACACTGTGCCAGGCAAGAACTGCTGCTACCAAAATCCATTCCTCTATAAGTGTACGGACAACTGGCAGTCTTGTAGCTGCCATGCGCAGGGGCCCTTGTTGCTAGCAAAATGACCTGCATGTTCATCTCTGGGTATGCACTCTAGAGGTGGTCGCACCTCCCACTGAATTCACAAATCAGAAAATCTTCGTGCAGATCACCTACAACAAGCACCAAACTTTGGGACACCCCGAACTGAATTCTAGAGAGCAAGCCTCGTTCTGCTGGCGTAGGCTTTTGATCTCCAGGAGCAAGGCCCAGTCGGAGCGTTGCCCCTAGAAAATCATGAGGTTTTAGGTAGTGGTTGGGGATCATATGTGGGACTAGGTCAGGGTAAGGGAAGCTAGTGTGGCTATTGGTGCTAAGCGCCATAGTAGGGTTTGTGATTTCCGGGCTCCTCTTGGCAGGAGTTCCATTAGTATCACCTAAACCCATGGGCGACGCCAGGGAGGGGCTTCTCAAGGACAACCAGAAACCTTGATACAATTCTTGCATGAGGTGTTGGCCTCTTGCCTTTTGAACCCAGTGCTGCACAACCTTCACCCCTGAGATGGAAAAACGCTTTGGAATGTCTAACATGTTGGGAAGGGGTTGCTGCCACTGACCCATCTGGAGCTATGGAACTGCATCGCTTGAAGTCTACAGTCTCCCATGTAGCATTTAAAACTCTAGTAGCAAGGTTTGCTGACCGTACTTGCAGCCCTGAGTCGCCCTTGAGCTCTTTCGTGTTCACGGCAAGTCGAGGCTGTTGTGCTCAAAGCTGCGTAGCAACGAAAGCAACTAAGACATATCACCCACCTTGTGAAGAATAGCTACGCAACAAAATATTCGAGACCAGTACAGTACCGACGTTTCAAGACTACGTCTGGCGGCTAGCAACCTGCAGAACCCTGTTTGCACTTAGGTCTAAGCGGGTCCACAACGGACCGACGTTTGTTTTGGGGTTTCCAATTGCATCATGTTGCCAGACAATGGATGCAGGGAAGGTGGGGGCTGGGGAGAGGGGTAACTCCGTGCATTTTTGAAGCATACATTTCCCGGCATTCCTTAAGCAAGAGTCCTGTTCTGGGCGTGCTCGCTTTCCGGAGCTTGTACTTTCTTGACATGAGGAGAGACTTCGCAGCAGCCTTGAAGTTGGTCCGCAGGAAGCACAAGCACTCTCTGCATTTGGCTTGGCTGAGCTTTTTTGAGTTCGGGGTCGAATACCGAAGAGAAAGGAAGCAACACTACTGGTGAGAGCATAAACATCCTGGCAGAATTGTGGCAATGAAAACGGCGCGCATGCACTAGACACAGGTGCTTGCCCGCATTAGCCATGAAGACTGCCATTTTCAAAAGCCCTTCGGTTCGATGGCAAGTGTGTCACAGCTTCACGCTGCTGCGGCTCACTGCGGCTTTAGGGCCAGCAGAGTTGTTCCATTTCCGGACTATGCCATGGGGGGAGTTGGACCATGACATGGTCTGGTGCTTCAGCAGAGTCTGCGCAGTACCATGGGCAATGCGGCAGGAAAAGTGCGCCCTTTGGACGCGTCTTGTGAAAAGCAGGGGCGCTCTTTTGGTTCTCTGGCATTCTGTGGCACATCGTTTTGCTGCCCATCCCGTGGTGATCTCTGCAGGCAGTGTTCTCGGCAATACAAATCTATCGGCAATATAAACTCAAACTCCGTGGGTATTCTTTGGGTAGTTGGGTGGCACGCTGGTGATGGCTTGCGGCGGCTGTTACTTCTGGCTGGGGGCTGCTGAACTATGCGTTCCAGTTCTTGACGGGTTTTCGCCACGAGGTGAGCATGAAAGCTCGCATGTTTATGTCGGGGCGCTTCCTGACGTAAAATCGCTCTGAAGCTGGGGACAACTAACCTTCGAGCCGTCAGAAGGAAGACAAATACTGCGCAGTTTGCAATGGACCCGCCAGGACTCAGGTCCTTGCTGGTGGCTGGGGACCCATGATGCACTAACAGCCTCCCCTGACAAGTATCAAAGCACCCCAAGGCCGAGACGAGGAAATCTCTAGATATCCGGTCTTTACAGCTACTCTCGAAGTTCCCTGCACTTTTCATGCTGAAATAGCAAACCCAGTCATTTTGGGTTCTCCAAACTGCGCCTTCTCACCCGGCTCTGACTGGGCGATGTTCCCACAGCCTCCCAAGGATCCAGCTAGAGTAGAAACAGAAGCAGCCATGCTGCTCACATGACTTTCGGCGCTAGCCGGAGCTAACGGCACTTTGCAGCAAATCAGAATTGAGGGGAGCCCACAACTACAAAAGCCAACAAAAGAGGGCTCATCACAAGAATCTTCTATAAGCAGGGCGTCTCCCTGGATAAGAAGACTGCTGCCATCTGAGCACTGGACCTGCCGCGTTTGCAAGAGGCCATGCCTCCTTCTCGCTTTGTACAGCGCTGGTTGCCTCTCATAGGACTCTGCAGACTCATGGAACATATTGTTCTTGGCCCTGAGGCCAACAGTATCTTCAGACCGCATTGCTGAGGTAGGATGACAAATGGTGTGGACGCATCCTTGTCAATCCGACAGAAACCTTACACGCACCATGTTCCCTATGTCATGCCGAGTCATCCATCTAGGGTGGCAGGAGCGGACCCCTTCAATCTTTCTTGCAAGGCGTAATCAGAACCACCCAGCTCCCGGTCCTCAACAGGCGAAGCACGACCAGACCTGCGCAGGGTGCAGCCTGTAGCGATGCGCAACTACAGCCATCTGCCATGACCGCATCGCCGCCACCATGAGGTTCATGACTGTGAACAGAAAACTATGTTGAAATGGCAACTTTCATGATGATGATGGTCATGGTGACCTGGTGATGGGGAGATGCTAAGCGACAGCAGTGAGAGCAGCAAAGCCGTGGTAGTCCAAGGCAGAAACCCGTCCAAGGTGCACGCAGCAGCTCTCTTCCCACTATCCACTAATGTCTCCAAGCACAAAATTAAACGCGCGCGAAGCGCAGTCCATACAAAGTATGAGGAAGACCACAAAACACATTGCAATGAACCTTGAAGGGACGGAAGCCCTGCATGACCCGAGCCTGTCCACCACAGCCCAGATGGGTCCGTCCCAGCGACTCCCATTCACCTTCCAGGGTGCTTCTTGTCACATCGTCACCATCATGATTTTGTTGATGCGAGCCCTCAATATTGCAATGATGAGTGCAGCCTGCAGTTAGGCACTAAGATGACGAAGGCGGAAATGTCTTCGCTGGTTCAACAAGACCTGACAAGAAGTGGCCTGGGCCTGCAGCATGTGGTGCTTTGCGACGGATGTTCGAAAATCGGCTTCTGAAGTCGGAGCAAGCGAAACTGCCCCACAATCTGTTTGAACAGACTCACATTCTTCCTCTGCCACACTGTCCATCTTGTGCACTATCTTTGCTGGAAAGTTGCTGGCCCAGGTGGCACAGGCCATTGGACGTTCCTGACTCCGTGCCGTCGTCCGTGGGCTCATGGCCACTGTGTCTACAGCACTTCTGCCATGATGTGGAACCTCTGGTCTCCCGTCTGGCAACCGCCGACCCTGGCCCTCATCAGGGAAAATCAGAGGCACACTTATGGCCGGCGGGCCGTTCGGATATGCTTCAGGTGGGCGAAAGGCATGCGGTGAGACAGCCCGGACCCAACCCTGGGGTGGTACCGGGGAGGGGCTTCTTGCAGTTGGACTCCGAGCCTGCAGTCTCTGTGGGCCGGGAGGGCCCCCGAAAGGGCCTGGAGGAGCTCCAGCTACGGGGCTCACAAAGGTGATGCCCCGCGTGTGGACTGGCAGCGTCTGTACCCGAAGAGTCGGGCTGCTGGCCCTGCCATTCGCCAAGCCATCAGCTCTCCCAAAAACAATAGCACCATTGGGCTGCCGACCCACCGGCGCAACCTGCATCACCTCAATCCTGAGCTGACCAGGCAGCAGCTCCAGCGCATTGCAGGACTCTACTGCTGGCAGGAGGTTTCAGGATGATAGCAGTGTGCGCAGTGGGCTTGCCCCTGGCTACTGTTAAGTCTTCAAGTCTTTATGAACTTTCCATGGCTCGGCATGCACGGCTTCGTGCACAGCCCCAACTGAAATGGCTGCAGTGAATCACGCGACGAAGAGATGCCCAGCAAGGAGTGATACACGCGTGGCAGCTGGGGGCGACAGTACACAGGATGCTCACAACAATCTCTCCTGTTTTGCTGGTTCGTGACATCCACACTCTCCACTCAACATCTCGGAATCCAAGGGTCCAAGCTACACTGCACTGGATGTCCACGAACCTGACTTCTGTCTTGGATCCCGGCAGAAACTCATCCCACCATCCTCAGCCACGGTTCCATCCTGTTTGCCAGGCCACGGCTTTGAAAGCTTTGGGTGACCACTCTCATCGATCATCGATCTGAAATCTCTTCAAAGTCCACAGCCTGACAACCTGAGCATGCCCAGAATCCAAAGCGACGTCTCGATAGATAGACAATGTCATCTGGTTCTCCTGCTTGCCCTGTTTGCGGTTGTGCTGCCTGTCCACCTCCTTCACTGCGTGACTCAAACATTGTATGCGGGGCCGGCGCTGAAGCTAGCACAACAAAGATCAAGCTGAGTTTGTTCATTCATTCATGTGGGCATCGCCCGGCATTCAGTACCCTGCCCTAAACTAAGGAGAAGAAAGGCCCTTGCCCAAAACGCCAAGCCAAACCAGTCCTTTCGAAAACTGAATGCTTCCAGAAAGTCCCGCTTTATCCGCCTCAAGGAACTGGGCACGAAGCTCGAACTCGCAGTGTGGCGCCTGGGTTTTGGGCTCTCGGTCAGCTGAACAGCTCCCTTTCCGTCAGGGCTTGGTACCTGGAAGGTTTACAGGAGGACCCCCGCTTCTTCGTGGCTGTTTTTCAGTGGGAACCCACTGATTCTGCGTGGTACTTTGATCCTTATGCCATCAGGCCGGAGTTGATAATCTTCGTTTGACCAAACTTTGGTCCCGGTCGCCGCTTCACTCCGCTCAACTCCAGTCCGCTTCATTGAAAACTACCCTTCAATGCCTATTTTTTATCTTGGTACTGTACTCTTTTGGAGGGGGCATGCTTGTTCTTACGGAGGTTGCCTAACAGCGTTTACATAGCTTGAGCGTTCGGACTTCAGCGCCAAAATTCGCATGAGCCGCTACCCAAGTCCATTAGGATCGCGGAAGGAAACCAAGCCAGCGTCTTGAATTTCTTGAGGTGAAGCACCGGATTTCTGGTACGCTGTTTTGGGCTTGTCGAACTCCGAATTTCAACCTTCACTTCGAGGCAGGGGCTGGCTCCCCATAGGGTGTGATGAGGTTCAGCATCACGTTCACAGACTTCGTCTCGACCTCGCAATCTGAGGGGGGAGATTTTGCGTGACGAAGGGACATGTACTAGTTTCCTGCTGCAGCAGCAGCAGCAGCAAAATGCTAAGGATTTTGGCTCGAAAAGCATCGCAGAATTAAACTACATGTTGCACTCAATCACGACGGCAACAATGATGACAACAACTGCCACTAAGTCACTAAGGTTGCGAGGTGAACGACGAGAAGTGCTCCTAGAAAAGCCTGAACAAGTTCATTAATAAACTGAGGGTGACCCCCTATTACAAATAATGAACATTGCCAATATACTGCCTGTAAATAATGCAGGGGCTTTTCATTACCAGGGTCGGGGCTGGGATTAGAAATCCAGGACCTCCCCCCACCCCCCCCCGCATGCCAGGCATCGCTGCGTGGGCCTGGTGAGAGTTCGGCTGGTACTCGCCAGTCTCTCCCATCTGGCAGACAGAACTTGCCAAGCATATAGCCCAGTGATGGAGAATCAATTGGAAAGGAAACTACAAATACAAACGGAAAACCAGGTTCAGGGAGGGTTACATGGGGATACATCCCCAAGAATGAAAAAGAACATGAACGAGAACATGAAAAAATGAGATGGAGACTAGGTTTATATAGTGACATCTCACCAGAAAAGGAGAAGCAGATGGAAAAGAACATGGAAGATGAAACAGCAAGCCAAATGTAAGACAAGTGTTGTTCTAGGGCTTACCGTAAGTTGCATGGGGAGCACATAGGCATCCCAGAGCTGTTGGCCCATTTCAGTATCATATAAAGCCAAGTATAGAATGAAGTCGATGTGTTCGACCATGGTAGCCACGAAAAGTTGCTGCGAGAGAACGCATAGAATTCCTTCCCTTCTTCTTCTGGTCCATGCTCACAGTGCTATCAGGCTGCTACATGCCTAGCCTGTCCGAAGCAAGGAAGGGCGACAGGTTTTATGATATAAGTCTTCCTTGGCTTTACGTGCGCACTTCTTCAAGAACAAGGGTGAACCAACTCCTCATCATACCCCAGAGGTGGTAGGGCAAGACGCTACGCAGGCAATAGCAATAACATCAACGATGCAAGTCACCTTGCAGGTCATCCATTATTTGCTTTTTTGTCATCGTAATCATATCGAGCAGCATCAAACCCCTATATAGCCCCAATGTATGTAGCCCCCTATAGAATGCAGCAACCACCCCTGACAGGCCCAAGGCCTCCAAATCGAATTGGAGGGGCACCTGATGCACAAAGTCAAACGACGCGCAAGGGATTCGCTATTTGGATGTAGGGGGCGAGATACTGGCTACGTAACACAAGTATTCATTGGGCAGCTCATGCTGAGCCTATAAGCCGTGCTTCTGCGCCACATACCTCCCCTGAGCCTCCAGCATTTCCTAAGGTCCTATAAAGGGGATTTTCGAAGTTTGAGTGGAGGGGTTTGAGATCATGAATTTCTGTCACAGCTTGGAGGGCGACGCCACTACGCTTACCACCGGACTTTGAACCCAAATTCCGGCAGTAATGTGTAGCAGACGTATCGGCATTCGCATCTGTCCGAAAATCATTGTCAAAAGGCTGCATGATGAACAAATGTAGGGTTTGCAACAAAAGTTCTGTGAGAGGTATTCCAACAAGCTCTTTGGTGGTACGCTGGGATGAGATGGCAACCGTCCCTCGAGGACAGCAGATCAATTCCAACCTCTTGATTCTGTGGAAGAATTTTAAATCTTCGAAAGAAACTGAGGAAATTTGATCATACTTTTGGGTCTTTAAAGCGACCAGGCTTGCCTGCTCCAAGACATGCCCAGCTCCCCGCAAATTCTTTAATTTCTGGATTAACACACAATCCAGCTTCGTATTTAGACGGTAACATTACTGAATCTATATGTACATGCACATGTTTTTCAAAGAAGCTGAGGTGACAACAAAGGGCGATGTGCCCTCCGGCTCCACTACGAAGACCAGCTTCCCCGGAGGTAATTCCTTGGGAGAATGTAAATGTTCACAAAGGAATTATTACTACGCGCCAGGAGGATTTTGTAAAGTCAAAGCAAGATCAGAAACAAACATTGCTCGCGTAGACAAAACACTGCAGTGGTGACACAAGGGAAGTGATGAAGGGGACTGTTGGGGCTGTTCTGGAAGAATGTCGGACATGAGGAAGCTCCCTTATTTTGAGTTTTATGCGTTTCGGTTCAGTTTAGGCCTTCGGGTTGAGGGCCCAATTGTCTCTTGAAGGGCTTTCTTCCAGGTTTTAGATCTTGCTCTGAAGAGGAAGTTTATGCAGCTCATACAAGGTCTGCATGATCATTTCTATTCTCCGAACCTTAAAACCTATGTTAAAAAACTTTGAGAATGATAGTCAATGCCATGATGTCTGGGACTCCAATCGTGCGTGGTGCTGCCTGCCTTCACCGCCACAGCAGGGCATAAATACGCAGAGTATAGTGATGTAGACTACACTATGTTTCCGGAAAAACCTGGGATATTGATCGCAAAGAGATTGGCGCTTTTTCCTTGTTTGCTCAGCAAAGTGAAATGGCAGTTCTGCGCATGTAGCTTCTAGAAATCCTGTGCCTGAGGAAATGCACCAGCGTCAGGCACTGCATGTCCTCTGCTGCCTCCAGCTACGACTAAGACGAGAAAATAGGCCCTGTCAGGGTCTAGAACTCAATGCAATGAAAGTGCATAGTTTCGGAAAGACCCAAACCCTTCGACCCATCCCGAGGCCCAGCCCAACCCTGAGGATCCCAAGGCTCAGACGACACTGGCAATGCCCCTGCTGGATGTCACCCCCGAGGCAAGAGGCTTCTGGGAGCGCCTACGACTGGACCTGATACCGTAGAGCCCACGAGAAAAGGGACACACAGGAAAGGTGTTTCAGCCCTGGGGGAAGGGAGGTTCCCGTTGTTTCGGCATTGTAGGGAGGCCTGATGATTCTTGGTTCAGAGAAATGCAATACTAAGACAAGATAGAGTCACATAGTCATTTATATGGTTGCCGGTATTAGTTGTAGTATCAATCTTCAATTTTGTAAGTGCGTGATTGAATCATCCTTGTACGAAGCTTAGGCTGATATGAAACCGTATTGTAGAGCTGCTACAGTAGTGACCCGTTCAATAGCACCAATATGTTGATTTCAAAGCTTGCAGAGAGGCGAGCGGGGAATGTTCGGTCGATGATTGCTACTAGTATATCAGTACTCTTATTCTTATCGTTTGTATTATTATTCGTATCCCTCTATCTATGAGTATATATACATATATGTTCCGAGCATGATTAACATGCATTTTCCACCGGGGCATGACTATTATTGTCATCATCGGCATTTTGATCAAGGAAGCCACAGAAACTTTACGATAACACAAAAGGAACACAAAGGACATTACAAAGAATCCTCCACAGCTTATCCAGACAGCGACTGGCGACACAACACCTAGTGCATGCGCCCAGCCTCACCAAGAAAGGACATCCCCTGCGCAGAGTTTTTCCAAACAGGGTCACAGCTGCGCACCCTCACATATGGGTCCCTTCTACAAGAGATTTCTATGCCCACCATCACTTTTCTGAGTTTCCA